AGTTACACAAAGACGTTTGGTGTTTAAAATGTCGCTTATTACTTGGTTTGGATTTGCTTTGATTTTGTGTGTTGAAACAAAAATAGGAGCTATCAGTATTATGTCTTACGCCAGTGTTATAAAAGATGGAATAATCCCCACTTATTCTTTAGCTATCAATAACTACAAATCTGTATTTAAATGTGCAACGAGATGTTTATCTGATACAAACTGCTTCACGTTTGGTTTCAATGGATTGAAGAAGGAGTGTTACTTATATGATTCCTACTTGTTAGCCTCAAATAACATAACCTATGATTTGGGAACCAATATCTTCAATGGTAAGTGTGATACCATTACTCTTTTTCGAAGGTAATAGAAACGCCAGTGCTCAATGTTTAATGAAAAAAAGAATGTCAAGCTTTTGGAAGTTATTAAACATTGAAAAATAATCAATCCACACATTAAATTTCGTATTCATACTTACATATTTCACCTCAGATCTATCTGATTTTGTAACATGGTATCAGGGTTGGGTTTTGGTCGGCCAGTGGAAAAAAGTTGTTAAAACCAGGTTTTTACCACCAGTCCACAATGACATAATAAATATTGTGATGCTTTATGGTTCTAGCCGTGAGGCTAAATTAGCACCACAGAGAGTCATATGCCTTCAGGAAGAAAACACATGGTCAATTCTTGAAAACTTTATTACAACTTAATACAAATACAGTGAGCGTTCGAGATGACGATTGTTGATTCCTACATTTTAAAGACGTTTCGTCTAGATATGTGCGTTCCATGCACACCATACCATCTCCCTTTTAATAAACTCGTGTAGGTGACTTTATGGGATGACCAAATCTAGACGAAACTGACGCTGATTTAGACTTCAAGGATTGGTTTCTTGGTGGTCTGACTAGATGTGACAGGACTCCAGAAAGCATCTCTTTTCTTTTCAGATACTTCATTTAGGACCTTTCCAATAACTTTGGAAATTATACCAGGCCCTTTCCATTGTGGCTGTAGCCTAGTACTCTTACTTACCGATATAGCGATATAGACGAGGTCACCAAGTTCGTACTGGTGATCATACTTCTTTAAATCGTGGGTGACTTTCTGGGAAACTGCAGCCTGCTTCAGACACTCTCTTGCCAGTTGATGACATTTTTCCAAAGAATCCCTCAAGTGGTCAAATGCAATCTTTCAACTTTCGTGCACTGGGTAGAATCTTACAGACCAAATATATGTTCTTATGCAAGTTTTACCTCATGGCCAAGCATAGTGTGTTGCTTGTATGAATAGTCCTTTTATATGCAGCAGTCAATAATGCCAACTAGCACATACTTATTTCCTTTGGAAGATTTGGAAAATGGACCGGGAATGTCCATCTGTACTCGATCAAGTGGTGAATCGGCCTGATACAAAATCATAAACTTATTGAGTTTCGTTTCCTTTTTGTTTCTTTTTGCGGAACATTCGTGACAACATGCTATGAAGGTGGTGACGTCATCATGATACTGTCCATAGTTCTGTGAACAAGGTTCTTTAAGCTACTAGGAAAAACCAAAAGTTTTTGTTTCGTCCTGGAATGTTCCCTTGTACAAAACAGTGTACTCCATCTTGAATCCATACATTGTCTTTCTCCTGTTTATTAGATATATCTTTCAGTGTGTATCCTTCAAGCCAATAGTTACCATTGGAGGCACTGTGTACTCAAACGGGAACATCGACCGGAAGGACTGCCGTACTGCAAAAGGAACAACATCATCTATCTTCGAATCTTTCCCATTTTACATGGAGTTTGCTACAGTGTTTACATCTACCACAAGCTAACTCTGTGTGATTGATACCAGCTATGTAACAGTTGCATTCGTCCGCATTGCCGTGTTGAATACCACATCTGTGCTGCAAGGTCATATTAAACTGACTGAGATGTTCAAACCACCTGGCTTATTGTCCTTGTGGGAACATAGGCCTATTACTTATTACCCTTTCTTCCCCATTCTCTATCTGCGTCGGGACACCTCCACTGACAAAGTCTAAGGCATCGGTGTCAAGTATGAACAATGACTACGGCAAAGGGAATGATAAAACTGGAGGGAAGCACACATTATCTGAAAGACTTCTGTTGTCTGTCTTCTCAATAGAGATTCAGTTTTCAATGTATACCCTTGAGTAAATCTTCTATAGTAGTTGGTCAGTCCTGGAAAAGCCTGGACTTGCTTTGTGGTCTTTGGTTCTGGCCACTATTGGATAGCAGAAATCACCTCAGGGTTGGTCTCGATCCCATCAGCGCTAACATAGTGTCCAAGGAACACGATCTTGGTATCGATAACATTTTTAAGTTTTCAATTTCAATCCAGCTTCTCTA